CTATAAGAGTATCGCAGTGAGATCATTTTAAACCAGTAGAACACAGTGGGATCCCCAAGTATTTTAAAGGAAGTTGTTCCTCCTTGCATTGTGGCAGGTTCAGAATTGCTCTTCTTCTTCTAACACATTTGGAAAAGATCACACTACTCTTTGGATAGCTGATATTAAGGCCTGAAGGATCTCCAAAACCTTTAAAGATGTCTTGAGGGATTCTAGCATTAGAGATAAATGCTTTACAAGAAATCAAAAGATTATCTCCAAAAAATGTACGACAGCAAGTAGAATTTGCTTTCTGGGCAGTGTTAGACAGAACAAGTCTCCCATTTAGAACTGTTGTGTTAATGAGTTGGGTGAGTTGGTCAGCTACCAGAGTAAATAGGAGTGGGGTTGAATAAAGCCCGTGGGTGAACCATTAACTAAAATAGAAAATCTTGTGGAGTTCAAAAGAATTATAATCCAGTTCACCCAATTAGAACTGAAGCCAGAGGCTGTCAATATCTTCAGAAGAAAACTCCAAGAAACTGAGTCAAATGCCTTAGAAACATCAGCTTTCAAGGCCATTATTGGATGTTTAGAATTAAATTCACTTACCATTTCATGCCCCATTATAATTGCATCCTGTATTTTCCTGCCTTTAATGAAGGCACTTTGCTCCAATCCTACTAAACTAGGAAGCACCAAAGAGAGTCTAGAAGCAAGAATTTTTGAAATGATTTTGTAGATGAGATTGCATAATGCAATAGGTCTGAAATCCTTAGGCTTAACTGCATTGCCAACTTTAGGAATTAAAGTAAGGAAAGAGCTGCTCACCCCAATTGGAAGAGAACCTTCACTAAAAAAATGTTGAACTGTTGCACATACTTCAGATTGAACAATAGACCAGAAAGATTGGTAAAACCTAGCTGGAAAACCATCTGGACCAGGAGCTTATCTGGTTTAAAGTTAATCACAACTGCTTTAATCTCTTCATTTGAGATAGGGGAATCCAGAATCAATTTATCTTCTAAAGATAGGAAATGTCTAGGGTTAACTTCAAAGGTATTCTCAGCTGTATTCTCCTGAAAAAGTCCCTGATAATAATCAACAAAAGCCTTTTTAATCTCCTCTGTATCAGTTGTAACCTGTCCATTCTCAGATTCCACAGAAGTAATTGCTAAACTGGTGCTGCTGCTTCATCTTAGAGTAGAAGAAGGCTGTGCATCTGTCATTGTCCCTGAGCCAAAGAATTCTGGATTTTTGAGCATATAAGATCTCTTGTGAAGACAATGCATCATGATAATCTTCCTTAGCTTGATTTTCTTTTTCAAACATATCATTTGTAGGATTATTCAGAAGTGTAATTTGAATATCCTCCAATGTCTGTTTAGAACTTAAAAACCCTCTCTTCAATATCTCCAAATGAAGTCTTGTTCCATGCTTTGATAGCAGCTTTGACATTTCTAAGTTTTTTGAGAAGAATATGTATTGGAGTACCAACTGTAGGTTCATCCCAGGCTTTCTTAATCACCTCAGATATGCCCTCATGTAAACACCATATTTTTAGCATTTTGAAGGGCTTTGGGCCACTTGCAAATTGCCTAAAAATGTTTATAAAAACTCCATAATGATCAGAGGATGATGAAGCAGAATATGATATTTTAGTACCTGTGAACATTTGCAGCCAAGCATCATTTGTGAAAACCCTATCAAGCTTTGCCAAAATCCTTCACCATGTCCAATCCCCATTGGTAGCAAAGAGTTCAATCAAACCAGTATGTTGCAATCAGTCATTAAATTCATCGAGGAGTTTTTGAGGGACCATGTGACCTCCTTGTTTATCTGAGTGAAATCTGGTGGCATTCCAGTCCCCAACAACCAGCCATGGTCCATAAACAATGGAGGACTGAGTAGTCAATTGGCCCCATAGTCTTCTTCTCACTTTTTCTGACACTTTGCTTCCTCATCAATAAGCTGCGAGACCCATTAATAAATATATAATACTCCAGCAGACTCACCAACTGTCAAAGGTCTAAAACACTCAGACAGAGGGATCCAATTATCACTCCACCAGTTAATGCATTTAGCATCTTTAACACTCCACTCTCCAAGCTCATGAAGGATTATTGTGTTTGTTTGCTCTGACAAAACCTGAGAAAGGAAAGCACTTTCCTTTAAAAACCTCCTTCTTAATAACCTTTAGGCTGTGTTGGGCTGCATAGAATTGGAGTCTATGAATTGAAATTGGTGGAATTGGAAAAAATTTTAGTTCAATTTTCTGAGTTAATGCTTTTCTCCAATTCCACCAATTCTAATTTCAAGGCTCCAATTCCATGCAGCAGAATATAGCCTCAATCTCCATCCCAATTTGGATAAAAGGGCTAAATTAAATGCCTCCGAGTCTCTAAATCCCAATATATCCACCACATTTCTTAGGAGAGACCAATTTATCCCAAGCTATCTAATGAGTTTTCTGTTTTGCATCACAATCAGCCAACCAAAACCGAGCCATATGTTTCTTCAGTATGTTGCAAAGATTAGATGGCAAGTTAAAACATGACATTAAATATGATGGAATTGCAGTGAGAACTGATTTCAACATTACCTCCCTACCACATTGGGAAAGGAAACTGCTCTCCCAACTGTTAATTTTAGCTGTCAATTTCCTCTCAGCAAAGCTGAAAACTTCTCTTTTGGATCTGCCAATAATTGAAGGAAGACCTAAGTACTTCTCCCGAGCACCTTCTCTGGGAATACAAAGTAAGTTGCTCAAAGAATACTTCACTGAAGGAGAAGTATTAGGACTGAAAAATAAGGAAGATTTATCAAAGTTCACAATTTGTCCTGATGCAATTTCATACCATGCCAAAAATGTTTTAATTCTATTCACTTCTTCTACCTCTGGTTATAATCGACAATCATCAGCAAAAAATAAACTTGACAGCACTCGATCCCTTCTACCAACTTTAATGCCACTATTAACTTCATTCATTAACGAGGAAGACAAGCCCTCAGCACAAAGTATGAAGAGATTGGGGGATAAGATTGGCTAAATTGGGTTTTGATTGTAAGTGGATCAGATTGGTAATGAATTGCCTAACATCAGTTCATATTCAGTGAAAATAAATGGTGAGTGTGGAAATTTTTTGCTTCCTTCAAGGGGATTAAGACGAGGGGTTCCTATATCCCCTTATATTTTTCTGTTGTGCATTGAGGGCATTCTCATCTATTAGAAAATGATGCCAGTAGAAACCAATTGCATGGAGTATGTAAGCAGAGGTGGGGAAGCAATTTCACATTTACTCTTTTACAAGGATTTGCAACTAAGGCTGCAACACTGAAATGCATCCTGGACACTACGCTGCTTTAGCTAAGCAGTTTAACTTCGACAAAACATGCCTTTTTTTTTTCAGCCCTAACCCATCTAATTAGTCGAAAATACATTTGAGAAGAATTCTAGGGATTACTAGTGAGATTTGGGGAAACAAGTGTTTAGGTCTCCCTACTCTGTTGGGAAGATCTAGACTGATTCTTTCAAGTTTTTGGAAGAGAAATTATCCTCTAAAGTGCTGGTGCTTAAAGGAGAGTTGAGGTCAAAGGCTGGAAGGGAGGATTTGGTGAGATCAGTCCTCTCCACACTTTCCAATTTCTCTATGCAGTGCTTCAAATTGCCAAAGAGTCTCTGCAATCTTTTGAGAAAATCAAGATTATGAACTTTTGATGGAGTAGAAAAAGGGAAGGTTTCAAAATAAAATGGATTTCTTGGTATAAATTATGTGATCCAAAAAAAGAGGGGAGTCTTGGTTTTTAGAAATGTCGAAGATTTGAGGTATGCAATGGATAATTGGAAATGGTTTGTGTGGTGATTGCTGGATAGAGAACTGGCTTCCAGAGATAAATTTAGTCCTATGTTTTCTTCTGCGCATTGAGGGAAAGAGGCTAACTTGGTAGGTGATTTGATTAATCACTCGGCCAAATAACGAAATTTTGTTATGGTGAATAGAATTTTTAATTGGAGGGACAGAAATTTGATTCTGCAGCTGCCTATAAGTGAGATGGGACGTGGACATACTGAAGTTTGGGGTGCTTCAAGTACTGGGGAGATTAAAAGGCATCATCTAATAAGATTTCTGATGCAGGCTGCAATATTGATGAAGAATTTACATATAATTGAAAGTATATTTCGGAAGGTTATTCACATGCTCAGGAAGGTTCATTTTTTCATCTTGTAAAGTTGTCGTCAGAGGTTTCCTGTTATGCAACAGTTGAAGGCCAGCCGATGCAACACGTCAAGTGTGTGGACCTGAGCAACATGTCCTGTTGCTCAATTAGTGTAGAAGCCAAGTTCATTAATGCTCGATTTTAGTCAACCAAATGGTCTATCATGGGAGCAATAGTGCATCGAGTTGATGGATGTGTGGTTTCCTGTGGAGAACTTCCGAGCATCGTATTTACGTCGGCTCTCTTCTGTGCTGGTCTATATGAAAATGTCAAAATGAATGGATTTTCAAGAAAGGAAAATAGGACCATCGGGTTGTCTGCTACAAGAATTTTCTGAAGCTGCTAGGGCTGATTGTTCAGTTCTGTTGCCTAAATAGGGCAAGAGTGATTACCCTACCCATTGGTATAAACACATGGAATACATAAAAGTGTGGTGGTGGGCCGGTGGTTTAGTTTTGAGGAATATCAGGCCGAAGCTTTAAAAGTGGCTTCAGTTTTTTCTGCATCATGTGAGTGTTAATTGCTGGTTTGGCAGAGATTTTGTTTCTCAAAAGAAGCTTTAAAATTATTACTGACTTGGGGATATAGCAGTAATGTAAGGGTTCAAGGGTCAGCTAAGTGCCTTTGTTTTATGCTATACTAAGGTATGATGTCCTCTAGTGATGATAAAGAACAAGCCAAGAAAGAATCTAAAGAGTCCCAAAAAGAAAGGTTATGCACTTTCTTTGTAAACATCAATCATTCACTCTTCATAAAGTTTATGTGAAGGACCAAAAATAGTTTAGATTTGAATATTACCCGCAAAGCACACACAAAAAAGTGCTGGTTACATTAAGGATACAAAAAGAACAGAATTTAGGGATGCAAAAAGGGCACAAAATCATATACAAAAAGAACAGAATTTAGGGATAATAGAGCAAAAAGGGCACAGAATCATATACAAAAAGAACTGAATTTAGCTCTGTTGCCTAAATAGAGCAACAGTGACTACCCTACCACAACAATTCCAAGGAATAATAGACTTCTGCAATTCTGTTCCCTACCCAATAATGTTGATAGCATGTTTTATTAGAAGATCAAGTGATGAACTCTGAAGTGATGATCATCACATGCTGCATTTCTTGTTTCACTTGGAAGAACGCAATTTCTTAATTCTTTAACATCCTTAGCAGTACTGTCCGTAGCTGAAACAAAGGGATGGCCTAAGAGCATGTCTGCAGACCATCGTGACTTTGGGTCATGGACCAAACACTTCATCAAGAAATCTTTTGCTTCTACACACACCCAACTTGGAATCTCTGGCAGTGTTTTTCCAAAACCAATACGATACAAAAGAGCACAAGTCTCGGCATGTGGTTCGCAATGCCATGGCGTTGCCCCCGTAATCAGCTCTAACACAGTGCACCCAAGTGCCCAAATATCCGAAGGAGGTAGGTACTCTTGATGACGAACCGACTCCGGTGCCAAATACATAGGTGTGCCTCTCAACTTGGGGCTTCTTTTCTCTTCAATTTTCATAGCAAGCCCAAAGTCTGCAATCTTGGCAGTTTCTTCTTCCTCACTGACAAGTAGGATATTATGGGGCTTTATGTCGCAGTGAACGTAACCTTGCTCGTGAATATAACTTAGACCCATCAGCACATTCTTTGTGTATCGTCTAACTTCATATTCGGGTAATCCTTTACCGTAGCTCTTGATACAATCCGCCAAACTTCCTCCCGATGCATACTCCAACATTATATTGTAGAGTTCAACACAATTCTCTGTCGAAACTTCGTCCCCAAAACAGCGAACAACGTAGGGACAACCTTCAAGTTCCCGAAGAAGTTCTCTTTCTTTGCGAAGTGAATCAGAGAGACACACTTGTGCAGTTTTCACAGCAATCAACAATGGAGGATTGCAACTACCTTCATTATATGCCTCTGCTAATGAAACGACACCAAATCTGCCCATTCCCAATCTTCTTCCTCGCTTCCACGATATCTCCCTTTCCATCTCTCCGTAGTCTGTTCTCGATCTAGTACGTATTTTTCTTAATTTCGTGAAGAAGTATTGTACTACTTTGTTACGTTGGCAATAATAATAACTTCTCAGATTGACTAGTTACTTTCCTATTTTGTTGCCCTAGTTTTTGCCTCCGCCTCCTATAAGGTCTCTGTCTTATGCAACATCTATAATTTCCGTATCATAAGGAGATTGCCCTAGTTTCCTATTTAGTATTTTTCTTGAATCCCAAGCAATTATAATAGTAGCGTTTTTTTTTTCCTTTCTAATTGGTAAATTATAATAGTAACTTTATATATATGCGGCTAGTTGTTTGAAAACATCACATCTTTAATTCATCAATCTCATTAATTGAATCAATAATTCAAACAAACATATTTACAAAAACCCAAATTCTTAATTAATTTTAGCTTCTTAAATGGTTCACATCCAACATAAATTAAATAAATTAATTATCTATAGTTAACCGTTACATCTGATTGAAGAATAAAATGTTCAAATAAGATGATTCCAAAAGACCCACAAAAATATTGTAATGATTACAAAGGGTATATCTATATTTTTACACACACAAATACTGTAAGTACCTCCATGGATCACCAAAGAAAGAAGATTTGAGAAGTGGAGTACTCCTGTTAGAAGTTGGTGTGAAACCATGCCTAACCCTGTATTGGATGCTTTCACTGTCATCTTCTTCTGAGTCTAAACTTAGGGGTGGGTTTGGATGGGTTTTGGGCTGATCATGAATGGGCGAGTCAATACTGAGTCAATATCCCATTATCAACCCATTTATGACGGGTCATAAAGTGGTTGAGTGTTAAATGAGTTAGTTAACACACCTCCAACCTAATTACTCAAATATACACAAATTGTCAAATTATTTTAATTATTGAATACCAAAAAAATATAAAAATATTTTTATATTAATTTTTTGGTTTCACTTGTTACAATTTTTTTCCTTTTATTTTTTTATTTTTAATTATTTATTTGGGGAAAAGTCACTATATAACTTACTTTGAGAGTTATCACAACCCAAAAAAAAAAAAGTAAAAAAAAGAGAAGTTAGTTTGGAATCCATTTATGGTGGCAAATCTAGATATGGGTCGGTTTTGGGAATTCATGAATGTGCAACAGAAATGTTGGAATATATTTCCAAACCCACAAAAGATTTCATCTCTGGATTGTTGGGTTCGCCCTTTGGTAATGGTGGGGTTATAAAATGTAATGTTGATGCTGCTAGTTTTTATAAGCTGTCCATGTTAGGAGGAGGTCGGGCGGTGTTTCGTGACTCTTCTGGATCCATTGTTCAGGCAGTGATTTTTAACCTTTTCCGACCTGGTGCTAGCGTCTGAGACAATTTTCCTTCGAAATGCTATTTCCTGAGCTCAAATGTTCAATTTTCAGGTTGTATGTTTTGAATCAGATGCCAGGTTAGTGGTGGATACCTTGACGGGGACAAACTCTTGTTTTACTGAGATTTCCACTATGATTTATGACAACCAGTTTGCTTTTCAAAAATTCTCATAGGTTTCATTTTCACGTGTTCGACATAATGGTAATCGATTGGCCCATGCTCTTGCAGAACTCTAAAGAGGTGAAATGCAATCAGATTTGGCTCTTTTTTCGATTTCTTTGATGATGCAGTGCAAACATGGCAGCCATGTCAACAAATTTTGGACGCTGAGGTGGCGGTGGTTCAACGGGAAGATCAACGGTTATCTTGGAAGTGGCTTGGAATAGAAGACTTATTTTCCAACTACTTATCTTTATATTTCTTAGTATTTTGTGTTTAATAAGTTGTGTTTAATTTATTTGTCAACCTTGACTCTTGTGTTAAAAGTTGGAAGCTAAAGCTTCCTTAATGTAATGTTGAAGAGGAAGACTTATATTTGTAGGTGTTGACGTAAAAGAAAAAGCAGATTTTGAATATTATGTTTTAATAATGATATTTTAGAGCATTTTCTCTTGTTTATCCACTCTTTCTCTTGGTTTTGTCTTCTTGTTCTATAATTCTTATTCTTCCTTCTCATCCAACCGCGTCATTTGGTATCAGAGCTTGCGCTACGCTAGCTCTCGGGCCGACTTTTATTGTTCTTATTTCATGGCGGGTAGAAGAGTTAGAGGAAGAAATGGCAACTGTATGGTGGGAGGTTTGAGGGATGAAAGAGATGATGAACTTCAAGCACTTTGAAGACAAGTTGAGCAACTTACCTTACAGCTGGAACGCCAATGCGAGCGTGGTAGATCAAGTGTGGGTTTTCTAGTGACGAGTCCGATGAGAACTGTTTTACCAATCTTGCGGGCCATGGTTGGGAAGGTTCTATCATGATTATGAAGATGTGAAGTTTGATTTACTGGAGTTCCATGGTCTTCTTTAGCCGGAAGAGTTTCTTGATTGGCTTAGTGCCATTGAGAAATTCTTTGATTACAAAGAAACACCCGAGAATCAAAAAGTGAAGCTTGTGGCAACAAGGCTTCAAGGTTATGCTTCGGCATGGTGGGACAAAGTTCAAGAGATGAGGCTTCGCAAGGGAAATCCTAAAATTACTTCTCGGGAGGAAATGAAGTCTAGGCTTAAAGAGAAATTTCTACCTTTGGATTTTGCATAAAGTTGTTTTTCTCAATTTAACAACCTTCACCAAGATTCAAAGAGTGTGTTAGATTAGACCGAAAAAATTTACAAACTCATGGCCTGGAATGACATTCAAGAAACTGAAGAACAACTTGTTTCAAAATATGTTAGTAGGTTGAAAATTTTAATTTGCGATAAAGTAGAAATCCATTGAGTATGGAAGGTCAATGATGCTTACCAACTAGCATTGAAAGTTGAGGCTAAGCTTGCTCGTAATGGTCCTTAAAAGTCAGTTGATGTTCATAGCCTTTATCCTCCTTCAAAAGGTGAATCTTCTCATAGTGAAGAAACTAATTTGAAGTTCGAAAATGTGACTAAAAATTCTAGAAAATTAGTCCCTGTTAAACATAAAGGAGCTCAATCTAGTCGCAACAATCCAATTTCTTGTTTCAAATGTGGCCAAGTTGGGCATCGTTCCAACGAGTGTCCAAAGAGGCAATTTGATGCGCGTGTGGCATTTGGTAATAAAGACAACGATGAAGAAGTCTTTTATGATTCAAATCAGCCCATATATAACGAGGAATATGAATTGGAACGTGAAAAAATTGAACTCGAAGAAAGCGAAAGTTTGGTGATCCGAAAAGCACTTGCCACTCCTAGAGTTGAATCCAATGAAGATTGGCTTCAGTCTAATATCTTCAAGACTCATTGCAAATCGCAAGGCAAAGTGTGCACAATTGTTATTGATGGTGGGAGTTGTGAAAACATCGTCTCACAAGAAATGGTGAACAAGCTCAAACTCCAAACCGAGCCTCATCTAAAGCCTTATCGGATTGCATGGTTCAAGAAAGGAAATGAGGTAAAAGTCTCTAAAAGGTGTCTTATTTCATTTTCTATAGGCAAAAATTATAATGATCAAGTATGGTGTGATGTTGTTCCTATGGATGTGTGTCACATGCATACTCCTAGGAAGACCGTGGCAATATGATAGAAATGCCATCTATGATGGTCATAAGAACACTTACACTTTAAAAATGGGTAAAGTGGAAGTTGTTCTCTTACCAAGTAAAGAGGAAAGAACCCCTAAAACTTCATAAGAGGAGGGTAGTAATTTTCTCGCTTTGCCAAAGTTTACGGAAGAAAATGATGAAAATGTTATGACCACAACAACAATGGAGGAAAAAAGAGAAGAACATGACGACACTCCTACTTTGGCATGCAAGGAGTTGGAAGAACATCAATTTCACTTTTATGACAAAATTTGGAAAGAGTTCACGGAGCGTGAAACAGTTAAAAGGAGTGCAACGGAAGTAAAGATAAAGGTTTAAATTTTGTTTCACGGGAAGCGTTCAATCATGTTTCCCAAATTTGTTCACCTTGAAAAGAAGGCATGGAAAATCTATTGCAAATGTATTCTTTGTTGGTAGAAAAAGATTAATAGGTTTTATTCGAGTGCATAAAATAATAAAGAAGGATGGAAAGTTGTATTCGAGATTTTTTCATGGCAATTTGTTTCAAACTCATGGACGAGTTCTTTCTCACCTGGGGAGGATGATGTAGTGCAAACATGGCAGCCATGTCAACAAATTATGGAGGCTGAGGTGGCGGTGGTTTAACGGGAAGATCAACGGTTATCTTGGAAGTGGCTTGGAATAGTAGACTTATTTTCCGACTACTTATCTTTGTATTTCTTAGCATTTTGTGTTTAGTAAGTTGTGTTTAATTTATTTGTCAACCTTAAGTCTTGTGTTGAAAGTTGGAAGTTGAAGCCTCCTTAATGTAATGTTGAAGATGAAAACTTATATTTATAGGTGTTGATGTAAAGTAGAAAGCAGACTTTGAATATTATGTTTTTGATAATGATATTATAGAGCATTTACTCATATTTATCCACTCCTTTTCTTGGTTGTGTCTTCTTGTTCTACAATTTGATAAACGCCGAATATTGTATATTCAAGCACCCTAAATTGCATTAGTTAAGTCCGTTGTTTGTTTAATTCTGCAGATTATCTTCATTTGTGTGTTTTTATGCATTTTCAGGTTTAATTGCAAAAAGGGAGCAAAAATAAGCCCTTGTGGATTTTTGATCAACAATGTGCTCAAAACCTGAATTTCTGGCAGCAGTGAAGCCCGAACTTTGTTCGCCATTTTGACCTACCAAACTCAAGAACTGGACTTCCATCATAACATGAAAGATTTAGAGCTATGAATTAGCTTTCTAAATCTTCAAACGGTTTGTCATTTGGAGCTCGGAGCAGAGAGTTATGGCCTTGTTACCAGAGGTGCGCAGAACTGCCTGGCAGCAATGAAATTCTGCCTTGATCTTCAATTTCGACCAACCAGACTTGAGAATTGGACCTCCACCAAAACATGAAGTTTTTAGAGCTCTGAATCATCTTTCCAAATATTTAAACGGTTCATTATTCGGAGTTCGGAGCGCAAAGTTATGGCCATTTTACGAAGTAGGTCCGGGCGGAGCAAACCAAGCATAGGGCATTCTGCCCAATTTTCGAGTGCTCGAGGCCCTATTTCGAGCACTCGAAATTAGGGCAGAATTCTACACAACTCAGCCCACTTGTGCTCAGATTTTACCTACTTTGGAAGCTCTCCTTTATGAGTTGGTTGGGGATGTTTCTTGGAGGAGAGAGAGGGCTTTTTGGGTGGATTTCTTATCTAGATAAAGGGGGGAGAGCCACACAAAATTAGAAAGCTTCATTCTACAAGATTAGAGGAGGGAGAAGAGAGCAAAGAGGAGGAGTTCTTGAAGCTTCAAGGAGGAAGCTCGAAAATGGAGGGGAAAGCCTTGCTTCTTCCTTCATCTAGGGCCACCATGGGTAACTAAACCTCCTCTAGGGAGGTGATGAAGCTCCATTTTGTAAGCTTTGCTTTGTTTTGATTTATATTTGGTGGTTAATATATGTATGTAATCCTTCCATGAACTAGAGCTCTTCATTTGATGTAATGAATTTCAATACCTATACATAATCATCTTGAGTTAAATATCTTGTCTTAGATGGTTTTTCTCCTATGATTATATTGCTACATTTTCATAGTGACAATGGAATGGAGTTTATGGAAGTGTTGTTAATGGCATGATATTTAGGAGATTTGATAATCTATTGCTTAGGATCTTCCTTTGATAGA